ATTATCAATATAACCTGCAGTGAAAGTGTGATCAAATCAAATCAAAGGATTTTAGAGAGCTACAGTCTGTTTCCTATTATTTGTTTATTTATTTACATTAAATATTTTTATTAGTTTCAGGTGTATATCATACTAATCAGACAATCTTATACTTTACAAAGTGTTTCCCTGATATTTTCACTACCCACCTGGCACTATACATAGTTACTACAATACTATTGACTATATTCCCTATTCTGTACTTTACATCCCTGTGACTTTTCTGTAACTAACAATCTGTACTGGTGAACTCCTTTATTTTTTTCATCCACTCCTCCAACACCCAACTCCTCTGTTAACCATCACTCTATATCTATTATTTTTTGGTGGGTGTGTGTGTGTGTGTGTGTGTGTGTGTTTGTTTTATTTTTGCTGTTCGTTAATTTTGTTCTTTAGTTCCACATGTAAGTGAAATCATATGGTATTTGTCTTTCTCTGACTGACTTATTTCACTTAACATAATACCCTCTAGGTCCATCCACACTGTCACAAATGGTAAGATTTTACACCTCCCTGAAATCAAGCAACACAATTTGAAACAGGATTTTAGCCGATCTTGCATGGGGATCTGAGGTTCAGAGCAGAGGAAGAAACTTGCCTAAGAGACCAGTGTCAGATCTAGAAGTCTATCCCAGGTGTACTGACCCTGGGCCTGGGTCTCTGCCAACCACCATTACTATTTGCAAGAGAGGTGGGAGCAGGTAGCAACAGGCCATCAGACCTCAAGCTGCTTGAGAATCTAAGTAGAGTACATGATTGGTTAAACAGCTGGGAGAAGCCAGTGGTGGGAAAGGCATTGGTGGAGGTGGGGCAGGCAGAGAGACAGACACAAGACAAGGGCCAATAGGCAGATAGGAAGGCAACAGCTGCCTGCGTTGCATGCTTGTTCTGTCGGGGACTCACATCCTCTAGATCTCAGCACAAACTTGGATGCAATTAACTGTGTTTGTTTTGTCCCCAGTGGATGCTCTGTGCTCACAATCACCTTTAGGGAAAATGATGATATGTTTTCTTTAGGGATGGTTAGCTTGAAGGGAGGTAAAGTTTTTGCCCCCATACCTGTTAATGAAGGTGCTCTTATTTTAATAAAGATGCAAACCCTCCAGCAGACAGTTCACTGAAGAGGAACAAAGAAAATCAATAAACACAATAAACATGAAAAGTCGCTCAGGTTTAGCCATAATTAAAGCAATATAAATTAAATCAACAATGCAATAGCTATAATTTTTCATCCATCATAATGATGCCTTTTAGACAATTTTATAATACAGTATCTTGATAAAGCTGCGAAGAACCCAGCACTTTCTTCCCCTTGGTGACTTCCCACTTTGTGCAGCCTCTTTGGAGGGGACATTGATAATCAGTCAATATTGGTCAAAATTATCAACACATATTCTAGGACTCCACAATACCTCTTCTAGTGCCTGCTCTACAAAAACTGCACCCAATGTGTTCAGAGGCATGGCCAATAATGCTCACTGCAACATCCTATCCAATAAGGAGGGAATATGCTAATTGACTGCCCCACCCTCAAAGATGGCAGCACTCACAGCCAATAAGGAGGCAACATGCTAATTGACGGCCCCATCCTCAAAGATGGTGGTGTCCACAGCCACAGGATGGCGGCATCCAGTCCCCTCAGCCCCCCAGCTGCCCAGGGCTGGCCCAAGGTGCAGGCAAGCCTCGGATAGTGGATGCCTAGCTGCCTAGAGCCACCCAAGGCTCAGGTAACCAGGACCAGCCAAGGCTTGAGCTGGCGGCAGTGGCACCAGCAGAGGTGTGATGGGATGTTGCCTTCCCCTGATTGCCCTGTAGCCTCCTTCCCCTGAGGGTTCCTGGATTGTGATAGGGGGCAGGCTGGGCTGAGGGACACCCCCCCCCCCATTTCCAGTGCATGAATTTTCATGCTCCGGGCCTCTAGTTTGTTTATAAAAGTGAAAAGCTCTAGACATCCCAATGCCCATGAGAAGGCCAATAAACAGGGGTGCAGCTGTGCAGCAAAATGCTTGCTGTGTTTAAAGATGTGAGGTGCATTTGTTCTGACATGGAAGATCCCCCAAGGAACACAGTTCACTTAAAAATGTTGCAGAACAACCTATATCTCAAATGTATGGTCTCATTTATGTAAAACACACACACACACACACACACACACACACACACACACACACACACATCTAAGCCAGATGTTCTCTAGATCCCACCATCCTTTTCCAGAAGCATCTGTCTAATCTCTGAGGTGGGAAGAGCTTTGGGTCCCCTAGCCCTATCCTCTGGGAGCCTTCCACTAGGGTCTAGGTCTCTGCAGCCCATCACTGACACTTGGCCATGGGCCATTCTCCTGATCCCATAAGGCTTGACAAATCTCTCTGAACTCTAGATACTCTACTCCTTCAGGTCCCCGAGGCTGACATACTAGGCAGTGGGGGCTTTCCAGAGTCTTCAGATTGTGAGTTTGTGACCATTTCAGAAGAAAATTATGATGAAGGCAAACGTTTTGCATGCTAGAGAGACATGTTAAGGGACAAATTCAAGCCCCTTCCTCTGTCTGCCCTTAACGAAGCCACAAATCCTTTTATTCTCTGGGCAGCTTGCCTGTGGCAGTTTTTGTCTTATGTCCATGCTGTCCTCCAACTCAAATTTCCTCCCACAAAGAAGGGCTGAGAAAGAAACAGCATGCAACTTTTGTCTCCTACTGTCCTGCCCTCCTTGGTGCCCAAGGTCAAGTGCCAAGGTTTCTGGGTCTCATTGGGAGATTGGAAGGGAAATCTCCCTACCCATTTTGCTTGGCTTTAAGTGGTTGGTTCCTCTACCACTAGGAGGCAGTGCCTCTGTAGGCCTAGTGCCCCATTTCCCAGGAAGTCCCAACTGGTCAAGGCCAGTTGGCAATCAGAGGGTAATCTGATTTGAGGTTAATGATGCAAAGTCCTGCCTGTGCCTGCCTGCACTATTTTGACTCTGCTGACTTGAGTGTTCTCCTATACCAGCCAGGAGACAATTGTTTATCCTTAAATAGGGAGACTGAGGCCCCAAGAAAGGAAAGCCTTGCTCAAGCTCAAATACCGAGATCATGGTGAGGATGGGCAGAGCATAGGGTTGCCAGATAAAATACGGATACCCAGTTAAATGTGAATGACAGATAAACTATGAATATGTTTAGTGTAAGTATGTCCCACATGTTACATGAAACATTCTACACTAATATATATATATATATATATATATATATATATATATATATATATATATATATTTGTTGTTTATTTAAAATTCAAATTCAGTTGACATCTGTATTTTTATTTCCTTCATCTAGCAAGCCTGCTCTGGCAGAAATCCACGGCTCCTGCTTCCCAAGCTTCTGAGTCCCACAGAGTACACTTCTCTGCCCCTAAGGTGCCCTCCAGAAAGCTCATATTTCATGGCAGTTGCTCTGCTGGAGCTGGGAAGGGCTTCTTCAGGGGCCCTCAGGAATGCAGGCAAGGCCTATGCCAGCTCTGCTCCAGGACTTGCTTAGAGAGGGTGGCGTGATCTTGGCTGCCTGTCCCCTTCTCTGGCCCCACCTGTCTAGCTCTGGAACCAATCTCTCTGGATCAGAGCTGACAGGGGTGTGGGGACAGGAAGAGATTAACTAAAGAACTTATAAACAGAAATGCATAACCCATGGAAACAGACAGCAGTGTGATGAAGGCCTGGAGTTGAGTGGGGACTGGGTAGATTGGGAAAAGGAGGAAAAATGGGGGTCATCTGTAACACTATCAACAAACAAACAAATAGACAAACAAAAAAACAGCTTCTTCTTCCCCTGGAGGCCCTGGGGTGTTTCCAAGAGCTAATCTATAGAACTTATTTTGGTCTTATCAACCAGGGGTCTTCAGAGAAAAGGACCCAATAAGATGTATGAATGTATATGTATGCATGTATGTATGTATATAGAAATTTACTTAAATTGGCTCATGCCATTGTGGAGCTGACAAGCCCAAGATTTGCAGGGCAGGCCAATAGGCTTAAGTGGGAGTTGATGCTGCATCTTGAGACACAATTTCTTCTTGAGGTAACCTCAGTGTTTGCTCTTAAGGCCTTTCAACTGATTGGATGAGGCCTACTCACATTATTGAGGGTTAGTTGTCTTCTTTACTTAAAGCCCAATAATTGTGTAAATATTAACCACAGCTACAAAATACATGCACAGCAATATCTAGACTAGTGTTTGATAGAATAATTGGGGAATAAGCTAGTCAAGTGGGCACAAATTCACAGTGGTCTAATCAGCAAGGAAGCTGAGGGAGAATTTGGACTTAGATCAGAGGGTGAAGGGCTTCAGAACCATGGAGGCTATATTGTTGAAAGATAAGTCCTCCTCTCCTGCTCTTCCCTCCTTTGGTTCTCACTGTTCCTGCAAATGCTAACTTCAGGACATGCAAAGGCCATCTCCCCACCCCCACCCCACCCCTGCACCTGGGAACTCTGGAAAGGGGGAGGCAGGATGTACTCTGCAGAGGATGCCTTTGAAGGATGCCTGTAACCAGAGTTGGGCTTTCAGAAACCATGACAGGCCTGAGATCTAACCCTGCTCTGGCCACTGACTGACTCTGGGGTCCTGTGCCAGTCCTTGCCTCTCTTAAAATTGTAGAAGATGAACCCCATATGTACTCCAATAGAGTCAAATCAGGTGACCTTAGAGCCAGGGAAGTTCTCACAGGCAAACGTCCTGAGTCTTATCTATTCTCCTATGTTGCTTACAGAGTAGCAGGGGAGAAGGCCACAAACCCAGACAACAAGATACAGCAGGAACAGAAGGTTCTGGTCTAAAGATTGAGTGGAAATGTGAATCTGGCCCCACCCCCATGTCAGGATATATTTCCCAGAATTCTGACGCCACAAAGTGCTCATTTTCACAGTGCTTCTCTGCCTTGCTCCCTGTGCATCCTTGGTCGTCGCTTGTAAGTGAATAACTGGTTGTTATGGCTGGAGGCCCCCTTACCATCAAGGAGGAAATGGAAATGTCCATGGATGAAGACCTGATTCTTATAAACCATGATAAAAGTCAAGAACACATGGTGGTAGCAGGTGAGGATTCCCTGAAATGTCCCGTCCCTTGGCTGTCTGCACCTGTGCATGTGTGATGGAGAAAGTACGTGTTTGGCTTGGCAGACACTCATCTATATGCATGTACGTGCTTTTGAATGCATGGGTGGGTATGTGCAACTCTGTATCTTGGTGTCCATATACCTATATTCTTAGCTTCAGTGACAGAGAGCTGGAGGGAAATGGGTTGATATGAACATTTTTCAGACTCAACATGTATGGTCCCTTCTTTGTCCAAGCTACCACTGTGCCTATTGCAAAAACTCAGAGGGCTTAATACAAGATCAATCAGATCAATTTTCTCTTTTAACCCTCCAATGCCGCCTTCTGCCCTGTTTTTTATCATTTTGGAAACATGTATTTCTTGATTTGAATCTATAGTTGATGGCCTGTTTTCTGTTTTGTTCCCTTACTCCCCTTGTATACACATAGTGTCTTGATTGCTGTGATCTTCTATCTTTGTCATTTTGCTCTCCCCAGTAACTTACGCAGAGCTTGGCTCTCAGTAAATACTTGCTAATCTTTTGAACAAATGAACAAACTGGGGCCTGGGTTTGGCCAGTGGACAGCAGTGAGTGGGTGTTGAGTGATTCCTAAGAAGTTTGGGGACCCAACCTTTTTCTGGGTGTCCTGTGCCCATGAAGCCTTGGTAAAGCCTCTATGGGTGTTCTTAGGGCCTTTGTTCTTCTTCCCAGAAATAATAGATCATGGATCCCGGTCCTGGGGTACCTCTCAGCGGCGACAGAAATTGGAGTCAAAGGCTGCTGACTCTGCTGGAGGCCAACCGGCTTGGAATGTGACTGACTCCCGGCCCAGGAAAATGGTACTTTATTTGGCCCTTGGCACATGGTGGCTGGGTTGGGCTGCTAGTACTGGCTGTAAGGGCTCCAGCCTGATGATGGTAGTTTGAACAGGGCAAGATGTTGACTTGCGGGTTGGGGGAAGAGGGAGCAGGCAAATGAGGATGGAGGCATTCAGCAAGAGGTCAGAGCCATCTTTTGTAGGTTGGGAGTTAATCTTTGAGACCAGAGTGCCTGGAGCAAATATATTTATTCTGCAAAACTCCAGTGTCTATGAAGTGATACTTCCCTTTATTAAAGAATTAAATAAGTATATATTAAATAAGTATATATTGTTCTCTCTATAAATATGTCTAGATTTCTGTATTTATATGTAAATATATTTCTATATGTAAATATATAAATATTTAAAATACAAATTTATTTATTTATTTTGAATGTTTTATTTTTTAGTACAAATATATTAAAATACAAAATTATATATATATATTAGGGCTGGGACAATGGTAAGGCACGTGAAGTTCCTTTTGCTTCTTGGTTGTTAGGAAATCCAGTCAATAATCTGACCATTTTGTAGCCAATCCTTAAAGCTACAATAAGGAATATTCTAGAAAAAATGGTGGCCATATTGTTGCAAAGGATACTGGGAAAAGGCAGCTCTTTTGGAGAGGAGAAAGACCTGATTGTTCTAGGGAATCATTTGAGCCCAGTATTTCTGTAGCCAATTCTGTTATCTACATTCACCAGTGGATGAAGGCAAGTTTTAGAAAAATGGTTGTTATACTGTTGCAAAGGTTACTGGGGAAAGGCAACAAGGTTGGGGAGCAAGAGGACCTAACTGTTTTAAGGAAGTAAGTTCCTAACTGCCAACCAGATTGGGTAGGAGGGGCAGATAACTGTTCCATGTATATACCTTTAGTTAATGCCCCTGTTTTCCACCTTGATCCTCAAGACCACCCCAGTGTCCCTACAGCCTCCAAGTTTGGGGCCTTTCTGAGTGCTGTCAGGTGGGGATCCCCCTCAGTTGCTCCTAATTTGTTTATAGTCACACTGAGGCTGCTTCATTCCTTATTGATACTTTCTGAATTCTACAATGTTGTTGAACTCTTCCTATGGGCTTATGCCATTTCACTGTCTCCACTGTCACTTTAATGGAGTCTTAAAGGGGAGCAATGCCAAATATGAGAGTTATCACAGTGTAGTGGTGAAGAGGACAACCTCTGGAATGAAATGTCCTGGGTTCAAATTACTACTCTGCTACCTGTCAGTTATGTGACCTGGGCGAGTTATTTGGCCTCTCTGTGTAATATCTCTTTCAAAGAGTCATGATGAGGATTTAATGGCTTGATATGGGAAAGGGCTTAGAGGATGACATGGTCCTTGGCATGTGGTAAGTGTGTGTTAAACAAACATATCTTGAGATATTTCATCTTGCATGGGAAACCCAGAGCTGAAGTTGGAACCCAGGTAGATCTGTCACCTTCTGCTTCTCTAGCTCACACTAGCTCTTTAAAGCACGAGATACCTCTGGCCTCCGATCTCTGGGCCAGAGACATCCACTCCAGTTATTAGGAAATGGATAGACATGAAAGACATGGGGATGGCTGAGTTCACCCAGAGAAAGAGAAAGAGGCTATGGTTTCCCAGTAGCCAGACTTTTATCTTGAGTTCTGATACCATGTGTCCTTGGGAAAGTATAGTCGTCTCTCCAGGAATCAATTTCCTTGGCTCTAAAATTGAGGTTTTCTGTCTCCTTCCGTGGTTGATGAGACTCAGCTGTCAGCATGTGATGGTACTGGCAGAGGGACCCTTATCATTGTTTTTCCTTCACTGCAGCCTAGATGACCAGGAGCTACTGGGGATCATGGTGTGGGTAGAATAGTGGAAGGCAGGCAGACAACTTGTGAGCCTCCAAGGCTCTCCTAATGATCTGAAGCTTCAAGCCTCTGATTCTGGAAGATCAGACACCATGTGACTCCTGGGGGCAGATATACCTGGGCAAAGTGTGGGACAACCAAATTTTCAGCTGGTGCTATGAAGATTACTTTGATTGACCATTCCTTTACTTAGGGTACTCAGCTGCTAGTACGCAGAATGGCAAGAGAACTACGCCATGAGGATGGTCATCCCCAGGAGTGCCCTGGCAGCTTCCATGGCTCAAGATTCCATTACGAGTGGTAAGATGGATCCCAGAGACCCTACAAGAGGAAAGGAGGAGCTTCCTGGGCAGGGATCAGAGTGGGCCAGAGAGTCAGACTGGCCAGGAAGGGCTCAGGAGCAGCTGGCCATGATTGTTGGAGACCTGTTGCTTCCTCACCACAGCCCCTGAGCCTCCTGGCTCCTTGCCTATTTGAGTCCTCTGAGTGCTCTTCAGCTGGGCTGGGCTGGGTTCCAGACCTCAAGCCCTAGGACCTGCTTACCAAAGAAGGGGAGGGACTAGAGGCTGACAGAGGGACTATCCAGAGAAACCCCTGATCTTACTCACTGGCCCTCCTGGCTTTCCAGTGCTTTCTGCCAGGCCTGGGACAATCAGCAGCTCTGAGTTGCTATATTTTCTTATTTCCCAGCAACTCAGAGGAAGATATGATTGCGGAGATTGGCTTGGAAGAACATGAACTGGAGATGGAGGCCATAAGAAAACAGGTGAATGTCTGCTGTGCTGGGGACTCACTTGGTGGGTGGAGGCAGAATCACGGTGCTTTGGTGGCAGGTGGGCCTCAACAGCAATAAATCATCCCTCTTGAGCTTGCATAGCCATTCCAGTTATCTTACTCTCTAGCAGCCAAATTGAGGTCAGGCTCTCCTCCTCTACGCTCAATGCCCATGGCACCCAATTCCCATCTTTCTGACAGCCTTAAGTCAGCTTTAACATGAAGAGAAAAAGACAACAAAAAGGGAACGGAAGAAGATAGTGGCATCTATTCAGAAAGAATGGCTGAGAGGTCTGAGATAGGGGTTTCGGGTGTGCAGAGACTGCAGAAGCCATGGACATGGATGTGGGTGTGGAGGGCTATCAGCCTAGTGGCCCTCTCTGGCCCCTGAGTGTTACCCCATCTTGAAGCCCTCACTCCAGTGCTGCTGCTTCCTCCATACTAGCTCTCCTCAGGATTAAAATGCCCTTCCCTGCTCACCCTGCACAGTTGGGAAGGACTGGCTTCATCAAGACAACTGATGCATTCAAAGGAGTGTGCAAAGCAGTTGGGCCTGCCAACATAGGCAGCCCATCCCACTCAGGCCCCTGGTATCAGCTGTTTCTTACCCAGAGGTAGTCCCCGCACCCCCACCCCCTCCAAAAGGCAGCAAAGTCCCTTCCTGTTTGAACTTCATACTTTTTTCCCAGTTGGTGGGCCGTGGGCTTCCCTAGACCAGCTTTGCTAACCAGCCTGCTCTTGGTCTCTCTGCAGCAGCGTGTGAACAATGAGCGTCTGAGCAACCTGGAGGACCAGGAAATTGCCAGAACCCAGCGGGAACTTATGCTCTTCAGCGTGCTGTTTTCGGTCTGCATAGTCAACCTGTGGCTGTGGGTTCGCCAGTGATGCTTCTCCAGCCATCCTACCAACAGAGCTTTCTCCTCCTTCCCTTTATTCCTTTCTTTCCCTGGGCCACCCCTGCCCTTCCTCCTTCTATTTCCCAGCAGCCCCCAGCAGCAGCAGGGCCATTTTCTAACTCTGGTTGGATCCCCTACTGGGGGAGGCCTTTAGCTGCTTGGAGGTGCAGAAAGATCCCAAAGGGCTGAGATGCAGCCCTTTGGAGAGTAAAAGGGGGTGGGGCATATGATCCTCACAGTAACACCAGTGGCAGGTGCTTCCTGCCTGTCCATCAGGACTCCACAGTGACCATCTTGTCCCTTTTGTTTCATTCTATGTGGCAGGGGCTTGGCTATGTTTTCCTGTTTCCTTCCACATTGTGCACAGGGTTCTGCACAGAGAAAATGCTCAATAAAAGTTCAATGATGGCAAACCCTGCTGGCTGAGTTTCTTAAATCCAGGACTCATGTTGGGCTCTGATTCTCCCTCCTCCCTCCCTGCCACTGTTCCCAGCCCTGCAGGGGCCTCCTTAGGGGCACGGCTTACAGATCCTTCCTGTTGGACAAAGGCCAGCAAGAATCTGTGGGGAAGTGCTCCTGCAGCAGCTTGTCTGGGCCAGGTGTTACAAAGACTCAATCAAAGGAAATGTCCCAGAAATGACCAGAAAACTTTTCACTTACCCAGGAGGGAACTGAGTCCCAGTAAGTGAGAACATGGCCCTGAGATTGTCTAGCAACACCAGGACAGGGCTGGGTCTGATATGTGTTCTCCTGAATCTTTTCTACAGACTTGCTGGGATGAGGCCCCAACTCATCTCTGGAGGGAGGCCACAGGGAGGGGCTTTGAATTTTATTCATCCATGTTCACAACCCTGTGAAGCTCATCTCAGACAGGGTGGATTGTGTTGTTGGGTAGGGCTGAGCTGGGGACAAAGGGATACATACATGTCTCTTGGGGGACATGGACACAGAACATTCCCATTGGCTTTAATGACTAACCAGACCATCCCCAACCCCCAAACTTATCATGAGTTCTTCGTTATAAAGAAGAGAGTGTGTGTGTTAGTCATGGTTAGTCATGAGATGTAAAATAAACACGACTGCATGCGTGTGTGTGTGTGTGTGTGTGTGTGTGTGTGTGTGTGAGAGAGAGAGAGAGAGAGAGAGAGAGAGAGAGAGAGAGAGAGAGAGTATAGAGAGGAGATGGAGGAATGGGAGGAAGAGTGAGGGAAGTGGGGTGAAGGGAGAGGGAGATACTTGTCTTCAAGTGTACTCTGCCCCTGCTACATCTCCTCTCTGGTCCTCCTTGGCCCCCATAAAATGAGAAGCTTTATCCACTCCTGAATCTTTTGGGGATTGCAATACTTCTAAGAACCAGGAGGCCTGGGTAGAACCTGAAGGCTCCCTGCCCCCTACTAATGGGTCCTGGATTACGTGAAATAACCAGTGAGCGAGGAGGAAGATTGGGGTTCCTCCTCGAAGGCCACACCTCCACTCCCCACAGCCTCAAGATAGACCCAAGGTCTGGGGACTAATTAAAAGGAGCATCCCACTGTTAAGGTTCATAGAGTAGCAGCATGCATAGCTTCTTGCCACCAATCCAAATCCCCACTACCTTTAATGACAGGAAGGTAAGCCAAGCAGAGTAGAATTGATTGGAGCTAAGGATGCCAGGAAGCCTTCCCTCCAGTGCTCCCCCTCAAGCTGCCCAATTCTTCTGTTTCAGCTGGGCCACACAGGAAAGCTAAGAGGAAGAGAAGGCTATTGTGGCTTGGGGAAGTGTCTGTCTTTGGGACATGGGCACGTGTTTTTGTGAGCAGACATGAACACGTTTGCAGAAAAAGCCTGGCTGAAAATATATTGTGAAATGAAGACTCACCCTTGGGAGCAATTTAGCTGAAATGCAAACAGTGTGGTGGCCCCTTGGAGAAATGCCTCCTGGGCTGGGGGAGCTAAGGTGGAGCCCTTGCCTGAGCCCTGGCTATTCCTCTACTCAGAATGAAGTGTGACTGGCTGTTCCTAGCCCTGCCTGTCTGCTTCATCTCCAGGGTCTTCCAGAGGGAAACCATTCCCAGAGCTACTCCATGCTGGCCTCCACCAAAGCCTGGAACATAGGTAGTAGAACCATCTTCAGGGTTCTATGATGGACCCTATTGTGAGGGCTGATAGCTCCTACCTGATTCTCTGTATATGATCTGTCTGGACTGTTTGCTTCCTTGATGCTATTTCCCTGTCAAGATGCCTTGGCCTTGCCCAAGCTCTCCAACCCTTCCCAGCAAGCCCGGAACTTTCCCATGACAAGGAGAGGGGAGGCTGGGACTCTAATTGGGGGTATGGGCATGTTTTATTTTCTGCAGCATGTTGTTTATTGCTCCTCTGTGAAAATTCCCATGGGTTGCCTAGGCTTGGTGTTAAAGTGTTAAACACTCAGTAGCCAGATTACTATGATCTGTGAATGCATAATAATCTGGCCACTCAGTGTATAGCATATATAATAAAAGGCTAATATGCAAATTGTCTCCTCGACCCGGAGTTTGACCAGCAGGCAGGCCGGCCAACTGCCCATGTCCCCTCCCCTTAGCCAGGCTGGCCTGACCCCACCCACACCCAAATTCATGCACCAGGCCTCTAATATATATAATCTGAGTAGCCAGATTATTATGCATTCAGAGGTCATAATAATATGGCCACTCAGTGTATAGCCAGTCCCCTCAGTGGATCAGGAGCTGCTTGAAGGCAGGGGATAGCTTCCATTGCCTTCCACATCCATGGCACCCAGGAGAAGCAAATGGTGGCAAGAAAGCCTCCAACCAGGGTCCCCAGAGAGCAATTCTGGCCTGATTACCTCCAGAAGGGAGGCCTTGGTCATACAAGTCTGGCTTTTAGGGCATGACCGCTGCGGAAAAGCCTTTTGCATAAAATTCAGTCAATTTTGACCACTATTCCTCTGGTGAATGAACTATGTGCCAGCATGTTGCATTTAAATAATATTGATTACACAAATCCTACTTGCCAATGCCCTCTTGAAAAATGGAAACATTACAGGTGTACCTAGCAAAGCCCTTGCCCCCCAATGTCAAGCCATCCCAGAACTAACTCCTGTGTTTGGCTTGTTGTTCATCCTTGCAAACTCTTGCTGCCACATGCAGATACGTGCACCTGTATGTGCCCTGGGTTTTGTGCACAGGGTCTTACATAAGCTGCCTCACATAGTCCTCTGAGAGAGGGTATATTCCCCCAAGCCATATGTGCAGGTGTGAAAATCTGTAAGCCTGTGGTTTGTGCTACCCTACTGGGCAGGCCCAAGCAGAAGTTGAAACTCAATATTCCAGGTTTTCTGTCTCAGGTTGGCTTCCTAGCAGCTGGGTAGAGGCAGGCGAATAGGTGGGCGTGTGGGTGGGGGTGAAAACAGGGGCTGTGTTGTGCCTTGGAGCATCTAAGATCCTGGCTTTTTCAAAAGGAGCAAATGACTCATCTTTCAAGGGTTTTTGCTACTTTCCTTTTCCCAACGCCATCCCCTCTTGGAGGCCAAGTTCAGGGAGCCCTGGAGGGGAAGAAATGTACTTCCTCCCACATCGGGTACCTCTTCTCTCTCGAGTTTCTCACTGGCTTGCCCTCTGGTTAGGTAGGCTGTTCAAAATTGTTACTAAGGCTGGAAGGCAGGTGCATGAGGATAGTGTGCTGGTGGCTTTGAGTCCCCAGACACAAAGCCCTGAGTGATGCATGCTCTATGTAAGAGAGGGCTCCTCAGGGAGTGTGGGAGGAGCTGGCTTCTGGGTCTGAGCAGACAAGCAGCTTCTACAGCTGGGAAGCCCAGCATCCAGCCCTCATCTGCTGACAGCCTGGAGTGTGCAGGTCCCTCAGTGAGGGGGTCAATCATCCAGCCAGGAGGCAGGGCAGCTACTCCAGTGGTCAGGTGCCACACTGGGCCAGAGCCTTCAGCTTGCCTTTGCTGTGGGCATGAGCACCTCTGGGTTACAGCCAGCCTCCGGTGCTGGCATTGGGAAAGGTGGGCTAGCTCTCTGACTGAGAGGCTGCCAGTTTCATGGGAGTTCAAAGACCCTACTGGCCTAGAGACAGGAGTGCCAGGTGGTCTCTGCTGGCTTCAGGCGCTAATGAGTCCCCAGGGGCTCATCTCTGATTGGAAGCTACACGGACAGACCAACGGATGCTGACTCTGGCCAGCGACACCTGCCTCTGAAGCCATCTGATTGGTGAGGAAAAGGGCTGGCATTGGGCTGAGAGAGCAACTGACCAAGGCTGACACCTTTCTGTGGCCACAGGCCAATGGCTTCCATGGGGGTGGTGCCTAGAGCTCATGAAAATGTGCAGATCTTAAGAGTCAGGTTTGACATGGGTCCATGCATGTCTGATCTGCCTAGGTTGCTGAGGGAAAGTAGGTGGAGAACCTCTGTTGCTTGTCAAAGCAGCCAAATTAAATCCTGAGACCTCTAGGAGTATGGAGGCACTGAGTGTTACAGTAGATCATAGAAATGTGAGAAGTGGCCGAGAATAAGTGTGGTGAGAGAGCCTGCTCCCTTAAAGAGAGGTAGCCCAGCTAACAGGGAGAATGCAGGCTTTGGGGAAATCCTGTCCAGTGCTACTACACCTTGAGGCACTTAACTGCACAGTACTTTGGTTTTCTCATCTGAAAAATGGGGATAACCACACCATCTATCTCATGGGATTGCTATTAGTGTTACATGAGTGCAGTGCTTAGCAGAGCACCTGGCTCCAGTGAGCTTTATGTTAGTAATTATTCTCATTGCCTAAGACCTTCCAAGCCAATTTTAAAAATACACAGTGCCAACCTTGAAGTGATTATGCTAAGTTCGTGGTCGGCAAATTGCGACTCGCGAGCCACATGCGGCTCTTTGGCCCCTAGAGTGTGGCTCTTCCACAAAATACCACGGCCTGGGAGAGTCTATTTTGAAGAAGTGGCATTAGAAGAAGTTTAATTTTAGAAATTTTGGCTCTCCAAAGAAAGTTCAAATGTTGTACTGTCAGACA